GGCTGCGGCTCTCCAGGACCGGAGTTCGCCACCGCTGCTCTAGATTGATGCCATGGAGCATGAATCTGAGCTGTAGCCTTTTAGAATGGGTTTTTTTTATTGCACCTTATTTGCAGTAACATTTGACCTATATAAGTAATTTAAGTCCATTTATTTTATTTTTTGGTGGTAACTTCAAATGATATCTCCAAATAATCATAATAATTTAATAATCATATTTATATAAATATATATATATAAAATAAAAAAATTGAATTATCCCAAGTTTTATTAATTAATTAATGAAAAGTAAATGTATTATATTATGTTATATTATTATAGTGATAATGGTGGTCAGCATTTGAATGCGCAGGACAAAGTTGGCTGATATTGCCAGTATAATGCAGTTTCTTCTCACCTTCTAAAGGGCAAACAGCAGCACACCTGGGCTCTGTGTCATTGAGAGTTGCTTATCGGGGTGTTACTATTGATAACATGAGTAAAAGAGCATTTACAAGTCTCAAAAGTCTAATAGATCATTTTATGGCTGCCGGAGAGTCAGTTTGGAGCCCTTTGTGACGATACTGTTATCAGCAGCGCACCCACGAGGCACAATTACAGCTGGAGGCACTCGTAGAAATCACATCACTTTGTGGAAACTTTTATGGCTGGCATAAGCGTGTGATGTGGATTAGTTGACACAACTACCGTATCCTGTGTCTCTGCGCTCTAGCCTTTTTCATTGGTAATCTATGGTCTCTGGTAATAAAGAATGGTTAACGCTAGTGGGTGTTTGTTGTCTGCCAGTTCTTTGGGACTTGTAATCTAAGCATGATTGGCCATAAACATTTCTGACAAATGACAAACCGATATCCAGCATGGTGCCGTTGTTGATTGAGTTCTCCTTTGTTTGCATTATTTTTGTTTAATCTTCCATTTATTATCCTTCCAGTCACTCAAATCATGGGTTAAAGGCCTTTATGGCCAGAATTTATCATAGCCAGTTAGATAAGAAGTAAATGGCAATATGGGATTTTTATTGTTAAAATAATTCAACAGAAAAGTTTGCAAGGCAC